CCAGCCCAACCTAATTCCATTTATAATCTGGGCATATTCCTCAGCTGCTGGATCTCTGATGCTCAGGTACTCTTCCAGAATCTTACTGAACAAAGTAACTAAGAAGGCACACATCAGCTAGCTTTCTTATTTGCAAGCAATACATCTGATTCTGGAAAGAAAGCATACTGGGGAACATTCCTGGGCACAAAATAATTGAGCACAAGGTTTTAAGTCTAGTCTTAACAAAGGGCTAGGGGGGAAATGAAGTCACAAAGCAGAGTCTTCAGGGACCATATCAGAGGGTGGGAAGACTCATAAATGCAGGTGCTTTGAGAAAACCATCTTTACTTCCCTCCATGTCGCTTTCCTGCCTTCCATCTGTCAGCTCACACCTCTGGCTCTAAAGGTCCTAAATCCTGGGAATTAATGTGCTGATTAACTGAATGCAGATCACAGCTGACCTGAGGAAGAGCTGACTTCTCTGTGTGAGGGACCATTTCCCAAAGGAAATCAGGTGGGATAGAGGCTGAACTGCCAGTAAGAACACACACCATGGGAAATGACAGCATTTGGCTAGACACAGAAGGATTTTCTAAGCAAGTTACCCTTTGTTGGGGGTCAAATGCCAGGTGTGGATAAAGCTGTTCTTGCTCAAGGATGAATAAAGGGGGAAAATGCTTGGTCTTAGGGAAAATAAGATCTAGGAAAAAAAAAAAAACACAAAGCATTCAAAAGCCAGGAAAGCCTAGACTCAATACCACAGAGTACTGAAATCTTCCTTGAGAGGAAGCTTCCCAAAGGCAATAAATATACCTGGTTACTGAAATAAAAATGCAGATAGAAAAAATAGAAATGCCAGATAATGCAGTTTTAAAACAAATTAAATACAAGCAATATTCAATTAGAAGCCGGGTGCCAGTGGCTCATGCCTGTAATCCTAGCTACTCAGGAGGCTGAGATCTGAGGATCTCCGTTCAAAGCCAGCCCAGGCAGTAAAGTCTGTGAGATTCTTATCTCCATTAAACCACTCAGGAAACCAGAAGTGGTGCTGTGGCTCAAGTAGTAGAGCACTAGCCTTGAGCTGAAATGCTGAGGGACAGTGCCCAGGCCCAGAGTTCAAGTCCCACGACCAACCAAAAAAAAAAAAAAAAAACAATTAGGAAGTACAGAAAACATATGCTGTTGCAGTGTTTGAACTGAGAGATGGGAAACTATGAAAAGTTATAAATACCTAGATATAGAACTTGTTGAAAATTTAGAATTTCCTGAGTATTTTAAAAATTCTAAAAGCATCTAAGCAGAGGGTTAAAAAAGTTATCTTCAATGACGTTTTACATAAGCTTTTTAAAGATAGAACAGAAACATAAATTTTATAATTAGCTCTCCTACTAAAAGATGGAAACTTCCAAGCTGACATCAGCTCTAAAATTTACATTTAGGGTCCAAGGAAAATATTCTAAGTAGGAAGTAAAAGATGAGATAATAAAAGCCACAAATATTTCAAAATGTACCAGAAAGGTTACAAGAATAATTCAGTAGCCCTGAAGTTCTTGCTTAACAGATACAAAGCCTGGTTTTGATTTCCAGAGCTGCAAATAATAATAATAAAAATTAAAATGTGCCAGCCAAAAGGCATCTTACTGGTATTAATTTAATCTAAAATATAAAATAGGTAGTAACATTGTCCCTATTAAATAAATAAAGTGAGGCACAAAAAGTTACTTAAGTAACTTATCTAAAATTACACAGTAGGTGGGAGCTGACAGGATTTGAATCTAGGAAGCCTGCCTGCTGATCCTACACTATGCCCAACCCAACTGCCTAAGGTAGTTAGCTATCCTTAACGTAAGGCAGTATAGACCAGACAAATTCAAACAAATAATAGCAACAGAGGAACTATAATCACAGCAATGTTAGTCATTCAAAGAAGAAAAGACTGTCACTTATCAATGGTGAAAAAAACAATTAATAATGAAGCTAAATGAACAGAAATACCCATCAATCTTTGCCCCATAGTTAATATTCAGGAAGTGTTTGCCATTGAATGAATGATCTAAAGAACACATAGGTAAAAGAGAGAAACAAAAATAGAAGGAAGCTGGCAAGAGAACAGTAGCAAAAGTTATATATTATCAGTTATGCTTTTAATGTTTATTTTTAAAATGGCAATTTGTTCCACAGTGCTTCATTGCATTTAGGAACAAACTTTGTCCAGTTCATGTGCAATTTAGCCCTAAGAAAACTCTAGGTGTCAGCCAGGTGACTGATATCTAAGGATCAAAGTTTAAAGTCAGCTTGAGCAGAAAAGTCCCCATTAGACTCTTTATCTCCAATTAACCACTCAAAAACTGGAAATAGAGCTGTGCCTTAAAGTGGTAGAGCATCAGCCCTGAACAAAAGAACTCAGGGACAGTATTCAGGCCCTGAGTTCAAGTCCTATGACAAACCAAAAACAAAGAAAACAAAAAACAAAGAACAACAACAACAAAAAAAAAATCTAGGCGAAAGCAGACAGCTGTACTTGACTTTGCTAGAATACACATACCTGCACACTACAAACATCACAATGGTCCATCATTTGCTATCTATGCTCCTCACTCATGCATATTTGCCTCACAACTCTAGTTTCGGGAGATATTTGTTGCAGTTTCACATAGCTCACAATCAATACTTTTGACCCCACTTCCAGATCAAACCTCAACTTTTAAGGTAAACTGACATTTTTTTTTTTGTTGTTTCACCTACGCATTTCTTAATCAACATGTGAAACAATGGACTAGCACCTGTGTTAGTCTTCTGTTTTCATGTTGAGGGTGTTGTCATTAATGAAGCTGTTGAGCTGTGCATTAAAGCCATGTTGTTTTTCCATAAACACTATAGTCCTTCTGTACAATTCTGCACACAGTCAATTTTGGAAATGTGTATGTTGGGTGAACACATACCTAGCCATATATACATAAATGAAATTGTAATTATAAAAGACTAAGTAGGGTGCTGAGCACTGAGGGCTCACACCTGTAATCCTAGCTACTCAGGAAGCTGAAATCTGAGAATCATAGTTTCAAGCCAGCCTGAGCAAGAAAGTCCATGAGCCCCTTATCTCCAATTAACCAACAAAGCGCCAGAAGTGAAATGTGGCTCATGTGGTTCAGCACTAGTCTTGAGTACAAAAGCTCAGAGACAGTAGAGAGGTCCTAAGTTCAAGCCCCAAGACCAGCATTTCCCACCCTCCCAAAAAAGACTGAATTAGGGTAAATCCAACAAAATCTATATTCCACAAAATGTTGCTCTTCTAGCATTAGGAAATTCATCTGCACTAGTCACATGCTGGTCACATATCACGTCACAAATAAATAAATAAAAATCTAAAACCAAATCCAAAAAAAGAAATCTTTAAAAACCTTTAAAAAAAACCTAAAAAAAAAAATCTAAGCTAACACAGTGGCTCACAAATATAATTCTTCCTACTCAAGAAACAGATTGGGAGGATAACAGTTCCAGACAGCCTGGGAGGGAGAGAGGAGTTTTCAAGACCTCATCTCAATGGGAAAAGCTGTTCTCAGTTTATAGCAAGAAGTGTCAACAGGAGTTGCTTTCCTAATTTCAGCCACACTTTTCTCATTGTTGGCATAAAGAAAAGTCATGGATTTTTGGGGGTTAATTTTATAACCTGCTACTTTGCCAAAGTTTTGAATCAGCTTAAGTAATTTGGGAGTGACTAATACATTAAGTGCTATAAAAGTGATGCTGTGGGGCTGGGAAGGTGGCTCAGTGGTAGAGTGCTTGCCTTGCATGCATGAGGCCCTGGGTTCGATTCCTCAGCACCCCATAAGCAAAAAGAAAAAAAAAGCCAGAAGTGGCGCTGTGGCTGAAGTGGTAGAGTGCTAGCCTTGAGCTGAAGCGCTGAGGGGCAGTGCCCAGGCCCAGAGTTCAAGCCCCAAGACTGGACTCCCCCCCCCCCCAAAAAAAAGTGATGCTGTATAAATAATTCATGATAGCATAACTCATAATTTCTAAAATCAGGGATATTTTGTGATCAAAGAATCTCATATCATTCCATATTTTTAAAATTAATTTTGGGAGCCAGGCACCAGTGGCTCATGCCTACAATCATAGCTTCTTATGAGGCTGAAGTCTGAGGATCACAGTTCAAAGCCAGCTGGAGCAGGAAACTCTATGAACTCTTATTTCCAAGTAAACACCAAAAAGCGTAAAGAGGAGCTGTGGCTCAAGTGGCAGGATGCTAGCCTTGAGCAAAAAAGCTAAGGGACAGTTCCCAGGCCCTGAGTTTAAGACCCAGTATTGTCACAAAGAAAATTATAAAAATTTCAAGGCTAGAAAAAAACTGAATGATTAAAAAATAAAACTGGAGGTTAAAAAGGACAAGTGGCAGATTAAGAAAGACCTTTCTAACTGGCAGCAAAAGCAATATGACCAAAAAAATTAATCATTTTGAGCACATGAAAATTTTAGGACTGCATATGAAAAATAATTATAACTAATAATTACAACTTCAGGAAAAATACAACTCTATAAATGAAAAAGAAAAGTACAATCAAGCAATCACAAAAACTTGATACATATGAGAAAATATGAAACACTGTAAGCAATCACAAAGCAAATGAAAATACTTTAGCCATAAAATTGGCCACGGTTTTCAAACATTGTACTGTTAACTACTGTCAGAGAAACTGGTGCATTTCTACATGGAAGTCTGCAAAACATACAAAACAACCTCTCCAGGAGAGCACTTTTAACGTAGGCTTTAAAAAAAGAAAAAAGAAAAAAACCTTTAAAATACTAAGCCCCCTTTTGACCTCATAATTCCATTTTATGATAAAGTTGATATAGAAGACTTCAATAGGAAAGTTTGTGATTCATTTTTTGCAGAGATGAACCAAATATCAATGAAAACAGGATGCTAAAAGAAATAAATTTCAGATATAACTTTCTAAAATTAATGCACTCTAAAATCAACTTTAATATTACCAAATTTCAAAAAAAGTTTTAAAACAAACCTTTTAACAGCTTCCTTCTTCGGAATATCTATAATATCCCACCATTTTGAAAGATAAGAGATTTCAGACCACATAAATTTCCTGCTTGAATCTTCTTTCAGCTTTAGGACCATGTTATTAAAAATATACTGAGTCTTGTCTCTAAAGTAGTCATTGAAAGTCTTCAACCAACCTAAATCAAGACACAAATACACCACAAAGGTCTGATTCATACAGCCAATTTCAACTCAATCACATTCTATTCTATTACCTTTGAACACACATAGATCCTTCATTAATATAAAGATGTATTTAAATTTTTAACACATACTTTCAATTAAAGAAATCCTATTTTTGTTGCTATGAGAGACCATAAAAAAAAAAACACTGAAATGAGGAAAAAAACCTGAAACCTTCACAAAAACTCAGATAGAAATGATAACAATAGAAAAGATGAACAAAGGACAAAAAGTAGTTGTTTAGATCTAAAAATTAATTCAATTATTTATCTCCAGTTTAAGGACATTTTCAGCCTTTGTGCAAACAAATCAGTACTAGTCTCATGAGATAAAAACTATATTCTCTCATATTACACGTAAAACTTTCCTTCACCCAATAAATTGACAAGGAAAAAAAATCACAAGTATAAATTAACCCAAAGCAGCTGAGCAGCCATAACTGTAGCACTGATAAGAATACTGAGAAATAAAATTTTGCCAAAAAAATAAGTTCTTGCTCTCGAAGGCTGTTTATTACTCATTTATTTTAATTTTTATTTTATTATTAAGGTGATGTACAGGGGGGTTATAGTTACATAAGTCAGATAATAAGTACATCTCTTGTCAACCTCTTAACCAAGCAACAAGTATTTACACACTTGTGTATGATTTTTTTTTTAAAGAGAACTTTAGGCATTGACTATTTGGATCTCTTATATTTTCCTATTTCTCAAATATACTGAATATGTTTCCTAAAGACATTAAGAATTCAACTACAGGAAAGTTTTTTTTAACAAGACTCACAGACCCAAACTCAGTGCCATCAGACTACTAAACTGGCAACAGCAAAAACATAAGGGCCATCAACTTCACCTACTGATAGTAGATGATTGGAGCCTATGAATTGTCATCTATGAATTTTTCCAAGGCCAGTTTCACTTCCAGGCTTAGCTACTGGCTCAATTGCTTCCAAAATTCCTACTGATACATAAGAAGCCCAAGTAACTGATTATGGTTAACTTTCAGTGTATACTGTATTTGTACTGAAAAATAAAGAAATAAGAAATAACCTGCTAATGCAGAAGGACAGTACAACTGTCTGGATAGTACACATAGGTCCATTTGGAAAGGGCACTGCAGCTGTAACCGTATTTATTCCCCTTTCTTTAACTTATTCATTTGGTATTATTTCTGAAAATTATTTACAATATATCAAGTATGACACTATGACCCAAATAAGAATATAATGAAAAATATTCTTTACAGGACTTTCTCAATAGGAAATAATTTTAGATCTATTATCAAAGAAAAGTCTCACCGACCTGCTTAATCACAAAGTTTGGACCTGTAGAAACACCCAAATATACCTGATGAAACCATTTTACAAATAATCCCATCTTGCTTCACAAAGCACTCACCTGGAACTCTGCCCAGAGCACTGAATCAGGCTCCACCATTGGAGTCACAGAGATAGGCAAAGCAAATCACTGACCTTTAAACAGGAACACCCTAACTCCTTGGTGTTCGTGCCAGTACCCTTAAGATTAGCATCAAGTGCTCAGAACTGAGCCCAGAGATAATTCAGCACCTTAAATACTACCTGCTAACATCATCATTCTTCAATTTACCTATTCCCATTTGCATAATTAAAAAATTGTATTAAACACTGTATAAAACTGTACAAAAAATTTAAAGATATTTCTAACATTTAATTTCTAAAAGTTCCTAACTAAAATATTTAAACAAGTTGTTCCACATCTTAAACATATTGATTGCTCAAAATATCAGTTTGCATAGAATTCAATCTTTGCCCTTATTATATGCATCAATTATAAGATATGTTAAGTCCTGACTCCTACACATTAGCATGGGATTCTACTTGGAGACAAAGTGTTTAAAGCATCTTAGCATGTGATTCTACTTGGAGATAAAGTATCTAAAGAAGTAATTAAGGTAAAATGAAGTTATGAAGCACTCTTATAAGAAGAGATGAGGACACACACACACACACACACACACACACACACACACACACACACACACACGCCCATGCCAACACAAAGGAAAAGATGGCCACACATAAGCCAAGAAAAGATGCCCTCAACTGAAACCATTCCTGCTGACCACTTGGTCCTGGATTTCTGGGCTCTAGAACTGTGAGAGAAGAAAATCTGGTTGTTTAAACCACCACTCTGTCTATGCCACTTCGTTACAGCAGCTCTAACATATTAATCCAGACTTAGAACAAGCTAGTGATATTACCACCCAACAAAAATGTCAAGATGGAAACAAATCATAAACTGCCACAAGAATATTTAATATCCTATTTATACATATTATATTAAACAGAACTCAAATGTACATAAGCAAATGCATGTATGCACCATGCTCTAGTTATGTATGTTCAATGCAGATCATAGAGATACCTAAAAAGCTCCATTAGAATTATCATCTTCAAGGTATTATATACACCTTTTAACTGAATTCAAACAAAGGTCCAAACTACTAATAACTTGACTATGAACAAAAGAACTATGAACAGTGCAATGGCTCAACAATCAACAGAAAAACTCAACTGACCTAGCATGAAAGGCAACTTTAGAAGGACTAGTCTATATGAAGATTAATAAGTTAGAGGTTTTTTTTTTTTTTAAAAATAACGATTTTCAACAGCCATCATTTGTTATGAGCTAAGTTCATTTCAAAGAGTTTATCATGAGAGTTTTCATACAGGAATCACAGTGACTGATTAATCCATTTTGCCTTCAACACTTAATTTGCCCTTCAACAATCATGCAGAAAATATGTCAAAGATATTTATATGAGCCAAATATACAAGCTCAGAGATGTCAACTTAAAAGCCTTCCATAAAACTCATCCATAATACATACTAATACCACTACAATATAGCACAATTAATGAAGAATGAACTGAAAGATAGCCTCTTGCAGCTTTCAATATTGAGTAATATAACAGTAAATTAGCTTTTATTGCTCTTATACAATAGAGTAATCAAGTATTCCCTTTTACATGGAATTGGTTCTTTCTTTCTCTAAATTACTCTAAAAACTACAATTGTAAATTAACATGAGACCAATCAGAAAGACAGTATTTTATGAAAAGTTGTATGGAATGAATTTTGCAACATAAAAGTATATTCCTACCTCTAGATTTAATAATCTGAGAACACTGAGTTACAAGATGATTTACTTAAGTAGTCAATTCACAGCTTCCCTCACCCCCACTCCCCCCCCATACTCTGGGAAACTGAACCAGAGCTGGAACAGCATTAAGAATACCTTTCAATGAACTGTCACAACACTGTCATCTATAAAAGACCAAGTAGCTATCTTAAATAAATAGGGAAATATCTTAGGACAGTGTGTGAATAATCAGAAGTTCCACAACAAAGATATAAATCCAAATTCAAAACAACTTTATTATTTTCTTAAACTAATTTCTAAAGTAAAAAAAAACTAATGTACTTGGAAACTCTAATACTTATTTGCAATGTTCATGAAGAATTAATTATCTAGTGATTACTCATTGACAAATTGTGATTAAATTGTTAAATTTATTTTTTGTACTACTGATAATAACTTGGAAGTCTGAGGAGATCTTACCCTCTAAAAGAGACAGTCACTTTTATGTAGATCACAGACAAATATAGTGTCCTGAGCATCTACTCAAGTGGCACTTGACCTTGGATGCTCTACTCCAAAGGAGCATTCTCCTTCCACTATTCCTAGGGCCATACACCTTTCTACAGGACAAATCCCCAGGGTCACAACTTTTCTACTCAAAGTCTTCCCTGCCTCTTTTGAATCTCGAAATCGGAGTCTACACAACCCTGAGCTGGTCTCCAGTTTACCAGTACCTACCTTTTAAGGAGACATTCAACCCAGTATGTGGTGCTCCCCCTCACCTGAAGAGTGTCCAAAAGGCTACATCATGGAGATGCAGGCAGAACACTATGGTGTCCGCAACAAAGAGCCCCCTGGTGTAGGACAAGGCAAGGCCTTGGAGGAAAAGGGGATTGACTCTTCCTTCCCTTATACTATACCACATTGCATAAGACACTAGAGCCTAAGATTTCCAACCCACTCTTGGTCTTCTAGACAACAGAGCTATTCCTATTTCTCCAGAAAGGAGAAAAAAATCTTTTTCAGTTTTCTTCTTATTATATATCTAGCATTGTGTATTGTGTATCTAGTATTTATAACTTTTAAACATTTAGACACAAGGTATGTGGGCTCTGTGTCCTTTTGCATCAGATCCTGCAAATTTTAGAAGTAGGCCTGGACATATGCTACATCCCAAACTTGAAATCAGCCAATTCTCAGGAATCTGGCAACTTTGCAAACCTACATGACGAAGATTTCAGTATGTCCTTCATAGATGAATGAAATCTGTGGACAGAAGGACTGAAAAACAAAGCCGGTGGATTTAAAAGATGCTTAAAATTATTCACTGTCTATATTTTAAGGCTAACCTAATGGTCTTTCCCTGGTGTCTTCAGTATTGGGGTTTGAACTCAGAAGCCTCACACTTGCTCAGTTTGCTTGCTCGCTGCTGCCTCTGCTACCACTGGAGCCATACCTCTAGGCCCACTTTTCGCTAGTAATGAGAGACAAGGTTTTGCAGACTTTTCTGACTGGGGATTGTGAATTGAACCATGATCCTCCAAGGTCTCGGTTTCCTAAGTAGTTAGGACACCAGTATCTGGCTTTATATAGTATCTTTACATTGCTGCAATATTTATATTTTAAAATGCTCCATCAGTCCCAAAATGATTTAAAACACTCATCTCAAAGAATGAACTCTCCCTAAAAGAGCATTGTGACATTGTTAGGGCCAAAGCTGCTGCAATAGTATTTTTTTAACTCAAAAGTTTAGTTTGCATGAACTCACTGAAAAGCATAAAAAATTCTGAGTGAGGGGCTGGGAAGGTGGCTCAGTGGTAGACTGCTTGCCT